TCACAATTTTCGTTGTGCATGCAAATGACCAGCAATGATTTGTAAGTCCATTATGACTTACTGTTGGGAACGCTTGACAATTTGCGCTCTTCTCAACGGCACAGAATCCGCACGATGATCGACAATTTTCTTGCATGAAACGAGTTGACCGGCCATTACAGTGATTATCTGCGCTCCATTTCAAGCACAACTCATGACGATCAGCACACTCTGAATTCCGAAATCACTTGTATTCGATTCAAAGCTTGCAGAAATCCTTTCATGAAATCACTCTCTCAGGAATAAATCACATGCGATATGTGTTATTGATAATGGTTCGTTTGAAAAGATTCATTCAATTGATCAGATGGTTTTCTTTTCTCCGACTGACAATGAGTGCTTACCCTCAGCGATATCATAGGACGGTTTACAAGAAGCGCAAGCAGCTGCACAATACTTTCGCATATAGTTGCGATTACGACGGCATTCGCCATCAAGTGCCCATCGTTCACAGCATGGATCTCGATTGAAACAAGGCGTTGTTTTACGTTCAGGTCGTTTGAATGGCTAAAATGGAGCACTTTTAACACTACGGATAGCAGAAATCGAGCTGTGAACGGATTCGATCGAGTCCTACCGGTGGTGTTGGACCAGGCACGCAAAAGCCCATTTGACAAACGCCGTCATAGCAAGCATCAAGACCTTCGAAACCGGAACATCGACCGTTCAGTTTGATTTTTGAGACGCAATGTGCGTTCACAGCAAGTGTATCGCAGAACAGATATGGACTGTCACATGTCGGCATTTGTAGTGTACACGTTGGACGTGGTGCATAGCGATACAATTGATCTGTGTATAAGTTCGAAAGTCCTGAAATTCAGTTATGCTCAGGCTGAATTCTTCACTTCTGCAGATGTCGACAGCATTTGGGTGGTACTAAATTCATTTAAGAAGACTTCATTTAAGAACACAAAAAATGACCTAAAAATGGCAAAACTGAAATTCTGAATCTTTGATAGAATATTTAATATCCACAATCGTTTGTAAGATTCCCTCATGAAAATTTTCCCTCTTGATTATTCCTTTTTTTTTGAATAAGTGATTCATTATGAACCAAATATCATGAACTTATAAATGATACCCTCTCGATTGATAAGGTTGTTGAATGGTCTCATTACAGCCCAACTAAAATGTTGAGGATCAGCACATCTTGGTAAATCCGGGCTGAACACCTGAATCGAAATGAATATTTTTACGGCGCTTAGGCTGTAGGTAATGTAACCCGTAACGAGCAACGGAAAATGTGAAATATTTGCAAGGAATGACGTGTTCTAGAAGGGTTTTTTTTTGAATTTCGAATCTCCAGTGGAATAATTACTATCTGGAAGGAGATATTACTCGATTCGTTTCTATTCGCTGGTATTGTTCATCGTTATCTGCGCAAATTTTTGATTTTCAAGTTTCAAAAACTATCTTCATTGATGCTAATTGTGAACGAATGTGCGTTTTTTCTGGAGAGGAATTTCGATGAAGCGAGAATAAATCAAAATCAAATTTTTAAAAATTTGAGTTTTATTATGAGCTTCAAAACCGATTCTCTGGTCCAACGTGATTGTTTTGTCAGTCTCCACGCCTCCCAAATGAAATCGATGAACGAATGATGAGCGAAGAAGATTGGATCGTTCGAAGAAGACACTGGCGGTTTCATGTTGCCACCGACCCATAAATGTACATTCGAATGAGTGTACTCCAAAGCGAAGAAATTCACAGGAACGGGACATCCTGAAATTCACGCGATTTTCGAGCATTATTTCTCATGGGTAGAGCAACAATCTTGCACGGTGTTGTGTCACCTTTGTACATGAAAAACACAACTGTTTTATGTCATATGCTAGAGTAAATGCATCACAAAATGCTTCGCTAATTGCTTTCTTTGATCGATTCACAAAGTCACCAATATGCTCTTCCATCAGCCAGATTTTCTCCAGAGCAATGCTTGTCAGTTATTGAAGTTGAATTATATTTACTGTCAAAACAGAATTCAACAGCAACTTTTCAGTCGAGAACTGATAATTGAGCTTATGAAAGGTTGCGATCGCAGCTAACCGGCAAGAGGTGCCGTATACGCTAGGAGATATTCCACAGCTGGTTGTTGGACAACCTGATTAATTCGATGCTCTGTCATAAGCCCTCCCTCTTGACCAAGATTCCTGGAATATTTTGGTGACATTTTCACTATTGTTAGTTGGTGCTTTAGTTTGAAATTTAATGATTTGTCAAATGAGTGAATTTGTTAAATGAGTAAGTGCTGATCTGTAAGTGAAAATATAACTTGAAGCACTACCTTAAAATTGCATTCCTGCCCTCAAGAGTTCTCCAATATGCGAAAGGACCAGTTACGACGTTTCCATCAATGTCGGTTTCACCGACGAATGCTGGACTGAAATTAATCAAGTGCGG